AATTTATTAGTAGATTTATATTTTCAATAATAACCTGTAAACTGCTTTAAATGAAATGTAGTTCAGTAAATGCTGTGCCTGTATAAAAACGTTAAAGATGGAGCATTTTATCCGCACACAGCTAGCTTTCCTTCCAGCTCCTTCTTAATTTAGAGCTTTTTCTTTTCTCCACACAGATGTTTTGATGGCTAATGTAATTGGCTGATAACGGAGAGTGTTAACGGACCAATCAGTCCAATCGGGGGCTCGAACAGGCCAGCGTGAAGAGACGGGGTCACGTCAAGTGCTGGCAGGATTTAAATAACAACAGAGGCAAACTGCTACACGGCGACGGTGGTGGATGTGAGGAAAAACAAAACGCTGTAATCACAGAATCTTAACCTGCTGCAGAGATCAGGAGACCAAAACGACTTAACCTCTCCTCCCAAAGCTGAACGACGTAAACACCGAGAAGCAGCTCAGACGCACACAAAGATAAAAATCCACAACCGCCTCGACATGATCGAGACAAACAGGAGCAGAAAAAACATTCAGGACGCCACCGCAGGACGCCTTCTTCAACAAGACGCCTGCGGCAGGACATTTTGGCGAAAACAAACAAACATCACGTTATGATCGCAGTTTAAAGGTGCTCCAATCAACGAGCACATTCCCCGCCGACACGGGAGCTGCAGATAAAGCAAAGCCTCCCGGACGGTCCCGTAACTGTACACCGCGAACTTTACACCAACACAGTCGTATGGCTTCTGTACAGATGAGGAGAAAAGGCACCAACACAAACAGTCCCTCAGCGGAGACGCGCCCGGAGGAGCAACGATTCACCCCGCAGGTTTTCACTGTGCAGCCGAGAAAAGGAAAGGGGCAAGACTGGCGGCAAACAGGAAGCAGACTTCTGCGAGAACTTCAGAATTAAAGACAAAAAAGGAAGCAGAGAGTTATTTATGCTTTTAGTCTTCATTACTATGATTTCTCCACATATTCAGCTTTTTTAGTCAACACACGATTACAAATGAGCCAAAAGCTCATTACAGCCCAGATAAACGACTTTAGCTCATTTTTGATTATTGCAGAAAAACAAAATAAGACTAAATAGTTTCAAAATGTTGAATTTTTAATGTACCTTTTGATTGAAATTAATTAAATGTTGTGGTTTTGTCTTCCTTGCATTTCATAATGACACTTTTATCACTTTCTAAATTTCAACTTTCTGATTCTGTTTCTATTCATGTGACTTTTATTTACAAATGCTGCGTTTTTATTTTAACTTGTTGTGATTTTCACTAAACTTCCTTTAGGTTAAAAATGTGTATTGAAAAGTTCGTGCGTCACTTCAAGCTACTTTACTTCTGTGTACATTTTGTATACAAACATGTAAACTACTTATTCAAAGTTACATTTTTGCTTGAACACTTCGGGTTCCCATAGAAACCGTCCCTTTTTCCTGTTTTAAGGTGGAATTTAAACAGGACGCTTTAAATGTACGGGGGCTGCACAGTGAAAACTTTCCATCAGACTACGGTTGCCGTCGTCCTCCACCAGCAACAACAATAATCAACATATGATCGATATTCAGCGTAAGGCGATTCTCTTTTCATTTACTAAAGAGCTTTAAGGCAGAGCTGGCGAGACGCCGCGGAGGAGAAAACAGACTGAGGGTGGTGAGGGTTTCTGACACTCTGTGGCTCCTTCCTCATCCTCCTCCTTCTCTTCCTCTTGCTGCCGTTGTGCTTTGAGCAGTTAGGTTGTGATGTGGACAGCAGAGGGAGGAGACACGCCTCCCTGAGCTCTGAGGAGGAGAGAGGAGAGATTAGTGATTAGGAGGAAAAAGCAGGATAGAAGAGAGGGAGAGAGGGGTAAAAACCCAAACCTTCCTCACCCTCTCATCCTCCAAAAAGGAGGACGATACAGGAGGGAGCAGCTCTCCTCTGGTGGTTTAGTTTTTAGGTCTGAGGAGGCCATCTTCTCCTCCTTTACATTACTGGAGGAGGAGAAAGGAAGCAAGGAGGTCTGTGTTTTTTGTTCAGGGGTGCAGAGAAAGGAGAAAGAAAGGGGAAGAGACAGCGCAGTATCCTATAGTCCAGATGAGGCGAGGAGGTTAGGAGGTAAGGAAAGAAGGAGGCCAGGAGGGAAGGCTGAGCTCAGGAGGAGGTGTGGAAAAGGCGAGCAGGACGTCAGGAGGAGGATGACTCGGGAGGCCATCAGAGGGGTGAGGAAGCAGGTGAGCGAGCAGCAGATGAACCTCTTTCTTTCTGATAGATGCCCAGTTTGACCTTTGACCCCGCCAAGAGCACACAGGAAGTGAGATGCCCAAAAGAGAGAGAGCAGACAGAAACAGGAATCACTTCACCAGCACTGACTTTGGCAGAAACGCCTCCATCTCTGCGTCTATGTCCGTCTTCTC